GGTTCAAACACATCAAAGCTGACACTATCGCTCGATCACTCACTCCTTCAGCCCTTCATCTAACACTGGGTAATACTTGTGACAGTCATGTATAACATGTATTGATGTACGTGACACATGCGCATAAGTGGAGTTGATAATTTGATAAAATGAAGAAGACTGTATAAGGTTATTATTAATTCTCATGTTAATATGTGAACCTTTATCTCATGAGAATCTCACAGAACTTGAAGTAACATTTTCTCGTCCCTTAATACATGCAACATTAATGCGAATGAAATCATTCCGTTCAGTTACTTCCTGGTGAACTTGAAAACAGACTTTACTAAAACTAATAACATCAAATTATGTGACACAAGTCGGAACTAACTAAAATCTAGAATATTTATTAGAATAAAATAATTCTATCTTATAATACAGATAAGAAAATACAATTTACTTTCAAATACCATTACAGCTAGAGATATTGCGCTGTAAAGTATACCTCTCACTGACAAGACTTTTCGTAATATGAAGACTGAATCTACAATGAGCCCATACGTACGCTGGCTAAATTGCAATTTACTGGCTGTGCGCTCAAGGTATATCGGTTTTCCCCATTGTAAGGTCTTTGCTCGTGCAGCATCGGCTGAACTGACCTCAACTACATTGCAATAATGTTCGATATAAATAAACCACCCTCCTGTAACGTTGTACACCGATACGAAACTAGAGTACATTTGCTCCAGATATACGTATAAAATAATATACACAATTCCGTGATCTGCTATCCAACCCTAGAAATCTACTATCCAAAATTCAGTATATATTAATCAAACACACCATTTGTTGTTATCCACAACCTAGATATTTACTATTGACAACTCAGATGTACTATCCAACACCCAGCTATCTACTATCCTACCAAGTGATCTACTATCGAACGATCATACTATACCATCAATACGCATTCAGAGTGACCATCACCCAGTGATATATTAACCAACACACCAACATCTATTATCTAATAAGCCACTGGAGCTTGCCAATAACTCACCTACTAATAAAGGGTAGGATGTAAAAGAAGACTGATGAAATTTTACTCTACCTTCTTACTTTTCTATTCGATTTAAAATTGATTTTAAAAAAAATTCATTTTTTGCATTTTAACTTATATTTGTTGTTCATTCTTTAATGTTCAGTTTTAAATTTAGCCCTCTCAATTCTCATTTTCAAGTTTAGTCTTTATTTTCATTTTCAAATGTGGCATTTAAACTTTTCAATTTTTTTTTACTTTATATTTTTTCAATTTTCATTCTTGTGATTTTTTATTTTAATCTTTATTTTCAGATATGGCTTGTAATTTTTAATTTTCATCTTCGAAATCCAGTTAAGATTGCTCTCGTTGTCGTACTTACAGGATTCAGAATGGATATGTTTGGGTATGGATTGCCAAAAGGAAATTATGCCTTTTTAATGTGTACGTTCGTATGCATTTCTCCTTTTTCTCTTTTTACTTCACTGAAAAAAAAAATAAAAGTTATAAAGTGTCGCGAGGAACTGCAATTTTCTTTACAGAGCGGGAGCAAATATTGTTTCTAGGTGATAACATTAGTTAGGTAAGGCGATCTAAAATTTAATTTTATTTATAAAAGAAAATGTAAATTACATTTTTATACTCATTTAGCTTCTATCTTAGTTTTAGTGTTTTACTCCACTTTTTCAAAGTTTAGGGAACATGAAGATGGTAGGAGATAGTTCCTTATTTAAAGTAGATGGCAGGGATTAGTGGTTTTATTTCCTTTTTTAAAGAATTTAAATTTTAACTTGTGTACTCCTTTCTTTTAAATCCTACTCCTGCCCTGTGTTGATGAGTAACTAAGTGATGGTTAATGAACAACTGGTGTGGCTTAGTAGGCGTAGGGGTAGTGGATAGTAAAGGACGGTAATGCATAGTATGCGTAGGGGTATTGAATAGTAAAGGACAGTAATGCAGAGTAGTAAGCGTAGGGGTATTGAATAGTAGAGGACAATAATGCATAAAAGTATGCGTAAGGGTATTGAATAATAAAGGACAGTAATCCATAGTAGTATTGTTACGTATCGGCTCGTTCAAAGTATTACATAGAAAGAATGAAGACAACAAGCTTTGTAAATGTTAACAATTTATTTTCCTAGAAAACATGAAATAATGCAAATATGTAAAACAAAACTTACTATTTACAGAAACAACCAAATTGTTCTAAATATAAACATAAGTCCTGTATAAGTTCTAAATAAACATAGTATGAAGTCCAGTTCCGGTCCAAAATGGCGGATGGTGACAGAATAAGGCTAACAGAAAAATCAAGAATTTAAACAGTTAAGCACAGTTTGTATTGTTCCGTTCCAATTTCGAATATTTTCGGAAAATGTCCTTGTCCAAACAAGTAATGTTGTTCTCCAGTAAAACAATTATTCTCAAAAACTTAGTAAAATTAGCTCCACTAACAAAATACATGTTGTTCTACGTAGACTTACGAACAGACAACTTCTTCTAGCACAAAAATACCTTTTATAAGGTTATAGAAGAAGTATAACTCTAAGATGTTACAATAAACTCTACGACTGTGAATGACTCTACGACTGACTCTCTTACAAAAGTACTCAGCCTATAAACAAAGCTAATGCTCGTTTAAACTGCACGCGCATGGAAGACATATTGAATTGATGTTAATATATTCTAAATAATTACATTTAATGAAATAAAAATGAAATAAAAATATTTATACAGAATTCATTCCTTAACACATACTTAAAAATTCCGGGTCGTAACAGTATGCGTAGGGGTATTGGATAGTAAAGGACAGTTATGCATAGTATGCGTAGGGGTATTGAATAGTAGAGGACAGTAATGCATAGTGATACGCGAAGGGTATTGGATAGTAAAGGACAGTAAAGCATAGTAGTATGCGATGGTGTACTGAATAGTAGAGGACAGTAATGCATAGTAGTACGCGTAGGGGTATTGAATAGTAAAGGACAGTAATGCATAGTATGCGTACTGGCATTGAATAGTAGAGGACAGTAATGCATAGTGATATGCGTAGGGGTATTGGATAGTAAAGGACAGTAATGCATAGTGATACGCGAAGGGTATTGGATAGTAGAGGACAGTAATGCATAGTGATACGCGAAGGGTATTGGATAGTAAAGGACAGTAAAGCATAGTAGTATGCGATGGTGTACTGAATAGTAGAGGACAGTAATGCATAGTGATACGCGTAGGGGTATTGGATAGTAAAGGAAAGTTATGCATAGTATGCGTAGGGGTATTGAATAGTAGAGGACAGTAATGCATAGTGATACGCGAAGGGTATTGGATAGTAAAATACGCGAAGGGTATTGAATAGTAAATGACAGTAATACATGGCAGTATGCGATGGTGTTCTGAATAGTAGAGGACAGTAATGCATAGAAGTACGCGTAGGGGTATTGAATAGTAAAGGACAGTAATGCATAAAAGTATGCGATGGGGTATCGAATAATAAAGGACAATAATCTATAGTAGTATGCGTTCTGGTATTGAATAGTAGAAGACAGCAATCCCTAATACGTGTAGGGGTATTAGATAGTAAAGGACAGTAATGCATAGTAGTATGCGTAGGGGTATTGAACAGTAAAGAACAGTATTGAGTATTCAACAGTGTAACATACCAAGCCAACCCCACCCCTTTTGCCAATACGTCGACCCCTTTGTTAGTTTTGTTGTTTGCTATAGGTCTCTCGATAACTCGCGCCCTCGCTTATATCGCGGTCGATGTTTGTGGACCCCGATGGCCGCGAGTTATCGAGGGAGTGTTGTAGTATGCGTAGGGGTATTGAATAGTAAAGGACAGAAATGCATAGTAGTACGCGTAGGGGTATTGGATAGTAAAGGACAGTAATGCATAGTAGTTTGTGTAGGGGTATTGAATAGTAGAGGACAGTAATGCATAGTAGTAATCGTAGGGGTATTGGATAGTAAAGGACAGTAATGCATGGTAGGTTACTACGTATTAGTCAACAAGTGTGGCTTTAACATTTAAACTATCCCGTCCGATCGTAGAGTCATGCTATACCTACATAATATTAATATATATTAATTCCTGACCGAGGCCAGGGTGTCTTCTTCATGTTAAATTCCGATTTGACTCCAGGGTGTCAATCCCATGTTAAATTTCTCTTACGACGACCTTATTAAACATATGGTCATTTTTAACGTCGGATTTACCCTGAGAAGCCAAACAAATCCGTCATGTTAAACCTACGGTTATTTTCCTGTCATATGTAATAAGAAATTCTCTCCTGTAAATACAGACAGACACTTCTCTGAATGGGACTTAACAACTGAAGTGTCAGATAGGCTCGGCATATATATATATATATATATATATATATATATATATATATATATATATATATATATATATATATATATATATATATATATATATATATATATATATCCCAAAATAACGTGGCGTATCTACGTGTTCCAATGAGAATGTCCGTCTTGAGTTAATTATTATAAATTATAAAGAGGCTATCGCTTTTGTTCAATTCTTAACATGGATTATGGTCTATTTTGGTAAATCGCTTTTCGTTCCACTCATGACATGGGTTACCTTTCGTAATATGGAGTAATAGTTGAAAAGAAAACGAGACCTGAATCGTTCGGCTGATTAATTTCGTTACAATTGAAAAGAAAGCGAGTAAATCGTTTATTGTTATGAATTCTGAACCGGACTATTTAGGATTACATGTGTGAAAAGCGGCTTCTAAAGTAAGCCGGTCATCCAAACCATGAAATTGAACCAAGCTATTCAATTTGTAACTAATCTCAATTTGTAAGGAACAACATAGTCCTACATATTTTTAATTTCTCTACCCAAATTTGATATCCTAATACATACATTAGACAGAATTCTAACAGCTTGCGTTTATTTATAATGTATCTTGTTGATTTAATTTTTACGTGCATTTAGAAGGATAAATATAACAGCTCCGGTGGCCTAGTGGTTAGAGCATCCGCCTCTGATGCGGGAGGTCACGGGTTCGAACCCCGTTTGAGTCATACCAAAGACTTATAAACATGGTACTAACAGCTGCCTCGCTAGGCGCTCAGCGTTAAGAGGATACTGTTAGGACTGGTCGGCCTGGTGTCAGATAAATAAGACTGGGTGGGACTTGACGCTACATGTCTGCGGTATGATTCTCAAGCGCTAAACATAACTATAATCCCCAACACTGCAGATATCGTTGCGATATGACTGAAAAATTGTTAAAGCTACGTTAAAAATCCACAACACACACACACACACACACACGCACACAATAATAATCTTCCTATATTTTGTGCAATTCCATTTTTACATTATGCTAACTGTAACTTTATTTGGCAGTACGTATCGACGTTTGTGCTGAGTTGCCGTTAAAATACTACATACATATATCCATTTATCAACCTTACACTTATCAATCAATCTATTTATCTTTATGCGTATGTTTGTCTGTCTGTTCTTCTGTTTTCATGTATATATTTATGTATGTATATTTGTATGTGCGCATGCATCTATATTTTATCTAATTATTCGCAGTGAACGTCGAGACCTCCGTTTAGAAGAAATAGTTCAATATATCAGTTATATGCGAATTAATCATCACTTCCACCTGGCATGCATTCAGATAAAACCGCACTTGAGTGTCCATCTTGGGTCCAACAAAGAACTGTCCTGGGCGTTGAATTCATTGACTTTCGGCATGCATGTGCCAGCCATTCAGCGCTATATTCTTTTCATCACAATCTAAACAAGTGATGTTGATTCTGACCTTTGATGGAGAGCTTCAGTTTTGACCTGTTTGGCCAGAAGATACCAATAATCTTCCTATGATACAAGATTTAGAAGATTTCAAGCTAGCCTTTATCATTCAAAGGTCATACAGTAGCTCACCGCAGCTACTTCTAGATTCCAAGTTGTTTGGACATCAATATGCGTTCCAGGATACAAAATATTTGATTTGCTTAGATAATTCTGGTCCTGCTTCCATCTCAGAGTCTCCATTTGTGGACGCTTTGCTTCCAAAGTATGTGAATGCCTCTACTTCCTCTACTGGTTCGTTTTTAATACTAATAGTATCGTTGGTGTATGGTTATTCCTCATCAATTTGTTTTTCTTGCTGTTAACATTCATTTTTACCTTTATGGCTGTCTAGCTGAATTTACTTTAATAAAAACAGTAAAATGTTATCTGTATAGTCAGAGTCTTGCACAGATGAAGTGAGGATCCATCTTATTCCTCTTTTGCCGTCAACTCTTGTGTCTTTCATCAGCCACTCGATAATGAAAGAAAAGAGGAAAGGTATAAGGATATAGCCTTCGTTAGTGTTAATTCTGATGTAGTCTGTGAGTTGGTTGTCGTAAATAACTCTACAATGGAAGTCTTGGTGAAAAAGTATCATATAGTTTACAATCGTCAGTGGGCTACTATAAAACCGGGGTATAATCCAGAAAAAGTCACGATGAAGGCTTTTGCAAGCCTTTTCAAAAACCATAATGCAGACAATACTACACCATTCAGTTGTTTACTCTAGTATGTCACAGTGTGAAAATTGGATCAATGCAGGATTTTCCTCTCCTGAGATCAGTGTGATGATCTTATCAGCATCTCTTGATTCCCTAGGTAATGATTCGGCTGAAAATCATGCTGGTGATGGATAGCATGGTGATACCTTTTAGGTTGTTAAGTTAATAAAGTTCACCCTCTTTTGGTACCTTCATGATTACTCCAGTTTTCCACTCAGCTGGGGTTTCTACGCTCACCCGTATCTTTATGAATATTTGTTGGAGGCTCTATGGGGGTTTATGTATCTTCTGACTTCAGCATTTCTGGACAGTTTGGTGTCCGCAAGAGGAGCTCCCCCATTGTTGAATGTTTTGATGGCTTCTCTGACTTCGGTTTTAGTGATATCTTCTATATGGGTGTAAATGTTCTTTTCAAGATTTTTTAATAACAGCTGCAACCATGGTGGTTCTTGTCTTTTCATTAAATCTTTAGCTTTAAGTAGATCTCGTTTTTTCAGTAAGTTTGATAATTTTCTTACCCTCTTGCCATTACCTCCCTCTCATTGGACATAAATATTTTTAAGTCTTTAGAGACAAGTTTTACCTGTTCCATACTTTCCTTGAAGACTTGTTATGGTGTTGTTCAGGGTCTTCACGTCCAGTCTTTCAGCTGTTTGTTTGGTTCTTCAAAGAGCTGCACAGTGTAGTGCCACTTGTGACTTATTGCTGTTTTTCACTTTTTTGTCCTTTAAAAAGTACTCATAGGATATCATATCTTTCAGCCTGGGTGACTTTGCCTTTAGTATCTATTTATTAACCTGCTTTATTTCATCAGTAGCATTCCAGGTACACTGAGAGATTTATTCATGTTTTCTTGCTTTCCTATAGCCAATTCTTCTTCTTTTATGGGAATGTTGAAAGAATGGATTAACATGTCCTTCTCGTGGCGGAAAAAAGTTGCTCTTGTTGTTGGAGGTTCAGATTCAACTCTTCCCGAACCTTGGCAATGCTGAAACTTTGATTTTACTTCTCCCCTAACTTGGCTTTTCTCAGTTTAATGACAACCTTGGTTGTCAGTAGCATGTGATCGCTGTCTACATCAGCATATCTCTTGATTGCTACATCTTGCAGGGACTGTGTCCACCTGCCGTCACTCAGCACATGGTCTCTGTGGTTTTCTCTCACTATCCGAAGACTTCCAAGTACTCCATTGTGCATGTTGAAATGTAAACAACTTCACCTTACACGACCCACTAACAACTGCCTTGCTTGGCTCTCAGCTTGAAGAGGTTAGTGTTAGGACTGGTCGGCCTGGCGGAAGGATAATATGATTGGGTGGGGTATCATGCTATATCTCTGCGGCATGATGCCCCAATATTAGACATCACTATAAGCAGCCACACTGCAGACATCGTTGCAATATGACTGAAAAATTGTTAAAGCTACGTTAAAAATCGTAATCACATCACATCACCTTACAGGTCATTCTCTCAGAAGATTATAATATCCGTAGTGTCCCGTTAAACCAGCCCCTCACCCTAGTTATCTGGGCTAGAAACAGGCAGTTTATGCTCAGTGAGGGCTCATAGGTGATGAAGTAATTATAAGCAACGTGCTGGATTAAATAAGATTTAATCTAGTTGTAGAAGAGGCGAAATAAATTGAGGATAATTTATAGAACAACAAGGAAGAGTCAGACTTAATATAAAGGGTTACCAAATGCAGATATATTGAATTTCTCCGATTGGTTAAACGGAAGACATAACAAAATCTATTGATACAAAGAATTTTTAGTACCTAGGCAATGAAAGGAAAATATATTGTCCTTGTACACCCTGCGGCAGGTGATCCAAGCTGATATTTTAAAGATTTGGACACACGTTCAAATAATTTGCTCAAAGTATTTGCCTCTAATTAATTGTTGTATAACATTTAAATTTAGATCATAAGAAGACAGTCCCATTAATCTTCTCCAAAAAAAAGAAGAAAAATTGAGCGTTATTATTATTATTATTATTATTATTATTATTATTATTATTATTATTATTATTATTATTATTATTATTTAGTAACATGTTTGTGTCCTGTCTCAGCCTCTTTTGATTGCAAGTAGAATTTTCAGATATGTAAACAATATTAATCAACGTGATGTGATACCAGTTATACCAGTTTTGTGCGTATTGAAGTAAGGTTTAAATAGATGTACAGATTATAAAAAAAAAAAAAAAACTGAAATCAAAATTTCATAATTAATGTAAATGTTAAAGCTAATGAAGAATAAGTGTATTCTGTCTTAAAATAACACTGCTTTTCATTACAGTATAACCTGTATTGAGATGTCTCAACAACTTGAGCTGCTAATTCGCTTGACACTCCAGCAGGAAATTTTTGCATTATACGCACAATCGCTATTTAACACGTGCCTATTTGTTCGACGTGACTTTACTGGTATCAATAGTACTTTTCCGGAAGCATTGGTTGTGATCGGAAGGTTTTGTTCACCATGTCTTTATTACGAACAGCAGCCTTTAGATTAATACAGAGCAACAGGGTAACTGTACATTAAACTTATTAAGTTACGCTTTTATTTTTTTAAGTAAAACAAATGTATATTTGTTAGTTTTTGCATTTTTTGTGCAATTGATTATTTTACAAATGATATCACATAACATCACATCAAAAAAGGATTGAGCGATGGTTCAGTGAAATTTCCTTACCTGCAGAAACATTCCAAATTGTACATTGTTGCTTAGAATGTATCCCATTATGACCCGCTGTCCATGAGCAAAATGTTTACTAATCGTTTTAGCGTGTATTGCATTCAGTGAGTCCGAAATTTCAAGGTCATATCGAATGTCACGTAATAAAACAAGATAAATCTTGCATAGGCGTTGTGTACACATTCGCACGTAGACCTCCAACGCACGCGGAATATTATTCAGAATATCTTACTAAATTCCTAAAAAAGCAGATTTTGCACGTTTTATCCTGTAGCTTTATATTTTTAAGAGGAGTAGCCCACCAACCCAAGCCTCGTGGTACTTTAGTCCGAACCTACTAAACCGTTGGTTTGTACCCTCCCCCTGTCGTTTTCAATAATGGAAACCATTAATTTGATAAAAAGTGCAAATAATTCAGTCAATTCATTCATTGATTTATATTTTCTAACTAGACTGTGAGTAGAATGGCCTTAACACCGTCATTGTCTGTGCATTTCGTACTTAAAAAAAGTTTTCAATATTATACACGGAAATGTCTAAGACCAATTTCCAGTCCCTGGACAAGTCCATTTTCATTAATGTGTGTATGTGCGACTAAAGATGTACATACATATGTCATCTGATTTCGATATTTAGTGTCAAATCAAGCAAAGGAAAAGAATTAGAAAAAAAATTGCCTTTCACGTGAATGTAACAAGTGGTTTCATTAATATTATTCCAAACTCAACGTTATGGTAATTTACGGAATTAAACGGCAGTCACCGAATAGGATGAATCAGGTAATGTTGTCGG